GACTATCCATCTCTCCCGGGATGGCTTGGTAGCACCTGAGAGCATACCCGGATGGCCTGGGATTTGAGAAAAACCATGACCCAGACAGATCACAGCTTGCAGAGCCCATGGTCTCTTGCTATCTTCTGAGAGCAATGACCTCCCAGAATCTTCCTGTTGGTCCAGGTACTGTGAAGGCTCAGGCCCCACGCCCACCCTCTGCCTTCCATCCTGGCAGCTGGGTTGCACAGCAGTACTGCCCAAATGATGCCCCTGCCTGGGCTGGTGCCAACATTCAGACCACATGGAAGGAAAAGCGTTCTTTTTATTGGTCTGGCTTGCTCTCCTGCACATCTCTCAGAATGCCGGTCTGTCCTTGTGGGCTCAGGTGTCGCAGTGGTGGTCACAGTGGGGCCTGCCTCTGCTGCCCACCTGGCAGTGGCCTCAGTCAGTCTTCCTGAACCCTGGAAGGCAAAGGCCACAAGATGGCATGGGATTCTGAAGGCAGCAGGCTTCATCCCCACCATCACCTCAGATGCCCAAGTACCCCTCACAGCTGGCATGATGTAGTCACCCCAGAAGCCATGGGTCTCAATGACCCACTGTCATAATAGCTAGTTTTCTTTTTATTTATTACATGGATTAAAGGAGACAGATATTTCCCCAGCACAGCCACTTGGCCTCTCCATTCTGAGACATAAGGTGGTCACAGAGCTGTCAGTCAAGAAAGACGATGTGCTTTCGCCCAGCCCAGCCACTGAAGCTGTGTGACTGTGGGCGAGTCACTCCACCTCTCTGAGCCTCAGTTTCCTATTGGTCAAGTGTAGCATTGCTAAAGCCTACCTCCCCAGTTGATATTAGGCAAGTATAGCCATGAAGAAGATAGTGTTTGGGGAAGTGTAAAGTTCTATAAGAGAATGAAGACTAACATTTTTCTACTGTTTCACACTTCAGGCCTTTGCATCCATTCCTCAATTGATCTTCACAACACACTTGTGTAGCAGAAAAGCATTACACCTATTTTCCAGTTGAGGAAGCCAAGGCTACATGGCTCATCCAGGGTCACAGAGCTAGTAAACTGGCAGAGGTAGGACTCGAACCTGGGTTCTCTGCCTCCGGGCTGTGTTCTTTCCTGTATGCTAAGTCTCTTTCTAAATGAAGACCCTGCTAGGGAGAAAAAGAGCGAACACAGGAAGACTTTAAAAGTTACCTGTCAGCCTGAACTTCTGGAAGAGGGGGATGAAGCCTTGCAGGACGCTGTGGATGCGGTACACTGCTCAGAAGCAAAGAAAAAGTGAGTTAAGTTTGTACCCCCAGAAGGGATACCTGGCCACCATTGGACAAGGACCTAACTCACGCAAACAAAGCTCTGATGGCGGAATTTCAGGCAGCAGGTTAAGCTTAGATAATGGTACTCGAGTTATTATTACTGAAAACAACAACCGTGAACAGCAGGAATAGTGGCAGGAAACTCACTTGCCAAATTCAGTTCCCAACTCCATTAACTAACTTGTTTTCAGTATCTGGCTAGTTCTATTTTGTTTGCCACTTTTATCTATTTATTTTATAGACAGAGTCTTGCTATGTTGCCCAGGCTGAACAAATTCCTGGGCTCAAGCGATCCTCTTGCCCCAATCTCTTGACTAACTGGAATCATGAGCATGTGCCCTGGGCCCAGCCTGTTTGCCACTTTAAACTGTTGCTGTTGCATTGTATGGAGCTGCCCATTTTTCCCACAGGGTTTTGCCAGTGACCTTACGTTGACCTTGAAAGTGGTCAGGAAGAAAACATGAGCATAAGGAAAATTTGTTTTAAAGTGTAGATTGTGACTCTCTGGTCCACACTTGAATAAGTATGAAAATGAGTATTTCTACTCGTCACCCCTCCAAGAGCCTGTGTGTGTGTACATGCTGGGGAGGGGCTTACCTAGTCCAAAGTAGATGCCAACGGTTTCCAAGGAGGCAAAGGTGAGCAGGCTGACCCCAAGAGACATGAACCAGTCTGGAAGAGCAGTGAGGGAAGGAATGGTCAGCCTCCAGGTCTTGACGCCCCTGCCCCCTGCACCCCCCCATGCCATTCCCCTGGTGCATTCCCCAGGGCACCTCCCCTCACCTGCATAATAGTGATAACACACCAGCAAGGCCCCGATGGCAAAGCACAGGAGGACGAAATGGAAAAACTCATCTGTGAAGGCAGGGGTGGGGAATCAGTATCTGCTGCTTTCTCTCTTTTTTGGGGGCAGAGGAGACAAGGTCTTGCTCTGTCACCCAGGGTGGAGTGCAGTTGTGTGATCACAGCTCATTGCAACCTTCAAGTCCTAGGCTTAAGCAATTCTCCTGCTTCAGCCTCACAAGTAGCGAGGCCTACAGGTACATGCCATCACACCCAACCATTTTTAAATTTTTAGTAGAGACAAGGTCTCACTATGTTGCCCAGGCTGGTCTTGAACTCCCAGAACTCCCGGCCTCAAGCAATCCTTTCATCTCGGCCTCCTAAAGTATTGGGATTACAGTTGTGAGCCAGCATGTCTGGCCTTTTTTTTTTTTTTTAATTACAAAAAGTCTCTGTGCTGAGCACCATGGTCTTTCCTCTTGCCCTCCCCTTCCTCCTAGAAGTCCCCATGGATTCCAGGCCTGGAGCGGGGAGGTTACTCCCATTTTCACTGCTCCTTTCCCAGAGTCTGGTCTAATCTAACCTTACAACTCTCTCAGCTCAGCTGACCTCCAGCTCCCCATCCTGGCCACAAGGCCTGGAAGGCATTTACCATCCTAGTGACTGTGCATAGCAGAAAGAGCAGAGGACCAGACCTCAAGTTCAGGCCACACCACTCACGAGCTGTAAGGCCACTCCTCAGCCTGGAACCTCAGTTTTCATATCTGCAAAATGGGAACCATTGTCCCACCCTGTTGAGTTGATTCTGAGCTGAGTAATACGTAAACTGCTGGGCATACGACAGAGGTGGGTAATGATTGCTACTGTGCTATTTCACCCCTAGAAATCCAGCCAGACAGGAAAAAGCAGGTCTGCTACACCAAGTTCCTTACCATCTTTCTTTATATTCTGTCTGCTTAACTGAGAGGCCTCCACTTCTCCTTAGGAACAAGAGAGAGATGAGTGTTTAACTTTGAAGCAGGACAGCAGGTGGGATTTTCTCTTCCCTACCTCATTGAGAATTAATATCCCGGGTACTTCTTCCTGGGTCAGAGGGCACTCACTGCAGGACCAGTCAAGCAAAACTGTGAAGATGGGGGTGCTGTCCTTGGAACCCCCACTGACTTCCTCCTCCTTCCTCAGGCCTGAGTCCACCTTCCATTCCATTTCCCCTGCACTAGAGATCCCCCTTCTGAATCATAGTGACATTGGCTGGCAACAGTCCCTGCTGGGACTAACCCACCCTCTCAGGCTGTCTGAAGTCCCAACCCATCGTCTGGAATCAACACCCACTCTGGCTGTCCTATTTGAGCTTGTATATTTACCACTTGCTGGGTCAGAGCCTCTCCTTCGGAGTCCTGGAAACGAGAAA